CGGTAACAAAGAAAACGCTGAGAATTGCTGGGTCCTTTGCATCGTTAGCTTTTCTAACATATCTTTGTAATAAAAGACTAAAGCTATCAATACACTGCGTTCAATAATAGAGAAAAATAGCACAGATAGTGGGGGTATTGAGTAAATAAAATGATCGCTCTATTGACGGCATGTTTGTTTTTGCAATCCTTGAGCGCTCGCTGAATTGCATCAGCAAAAGGGTGCGCGTAAACTGTGTTCCGCCACCTCAAGATTTTACGACCATTCCGGGACGTAAAAAATATTGTTTTAAGAACTGTAGACTACTATAGCTTTCAAGCCACAAGACCAGACTCAAGAAAGTCTTGACAACAGATATAGAGACGCTCACTTTCGTGGCTAAAATTGCTTTTCACGGCTAACGGTTAAAAGTTTCTAATTTTTGCGCCTAAATAACGGATGAATTTTTGTCTGTTTTACGACTAACAGTTAACCCCACTGCCGGAACCTTCATAACAGTGAGAGTAGCGAACAACTTTTTCAGTTTATTTCGTCTTCACTTTTCGCAACGAACCGAACTCAGAGATGTAAGGTAAAGTAGTAATGTCATTCCCATATCTGAGCGAGATTAGTAAAGATGACGAACTAGTTGTCGTGAAAGATTTCCAGATGTCTAGGACCTGAAATATCTGTCGAGTACCACACAGAACCAACTGCCCCGCGTCACTTGTTTTAATTGATGGACAAAACGTTCAGCTTCGCGTTGCGTGTCATGTCGTAGAAGAGTCCTCGTTGTTCCAGTAGTTTGATTGGCGAGTCGAATTCCACGATTGATCCATTGTCAAGGACCATCACCCTGAAAATAAGGACCAAAGTATCTCAATTTTAAATTTCGGCTTATTTACCCTTTGTTTTAAGAATTATTAAAGACTTTTTAAAGGAGCTACGTCACGGTTTGCACCTCTTGAAAAGTTTAGCCTAAATTTATTATTATCTCTTTGGTGTTTTATTTCCAGTTAATTTAGATAATTTTGTACGTGGCCACAAAACCCAAAATACCATGACTGAGCTCCTTTAATCACAAAAAGAAATCAGTTGAATTGCTCCGAAAAAAGTACTATTCAAATTTGGAGTTTTATTCTTCAACGCTTTTCAAGTCATAGAAGCGTTCAAAATTGTTAAAACTTTGACCCTTAGCCTCGCTCCGTCCTCCCCTCTTCCTCCCCCTCTCGGTATAATGGGGGTTAATATTGATAGCTTCAATTAAATCATTTTCATTTTGCACGATAGAAGAACAACAGTTTACCCTTCTCTTGTCTGAAAACTATCATCAAATCTGAGAATTTATCCCTAACGGAGACGACTTGGGACAAGTCAGTGATATCAGTCCATTATATAGTGGGCAGTGTCTCCAATCAGCCCACATGGGCTAAATACATTGACACTTAAATAAAGTTCTTACTTACTTAGCTTCTTTTTATGTTTCAAATTGAGACTGGCGTAAAATGTTTCTCAGAGGTGTAGCAGCTCTCGTAAACTTGTAATCTTTTACTTGTTAGCAGTTGTTATTGTTTTAGGGCTAGGAGCATTGTTTCTGTTGTTTGTTCTATTGTCCTCTCAAAGGGTATCAAGCCATTCAAGTGAGACCTTACGAGTTGCTACCCAACCCCCTCTCTGATGTATGTGTAAAGTGTACAGAGAATGTTTAGATCTCCTTTGTAGGTATTTAAATGCAAAGTTTCCTTTTCTTTCATAACTTGGCTATTCTTCTTTTCTCGGAAATTGTAATTTTTATGATTAATTGGTAATAAGACTTCGTGTCATCCAGTTCGGTCTGTAATCATACTCGTGATAAACAAATCGGACTCCCGCTGTGCGGTCTTCCGATTTTGTTATCACTCTTATGATAACAGACTGAATTGGACTCCACTCAGTCCTATTACCATTACTTATTGAATCACAATGATTTAGATTACCAGAGGGCAGCTTTCACTATAATTAAGCTGGTGATTTTTCTCAGACATAGCAATCATTGAGGTAATTCTATTTGCTTTAAAGACACCTGCTCTGTACATTGAGGCAGCGTTCAAAGCAATATTTTACAGTTGTTTGCTCGGCCCCACAATCTTTGTGCTATAAACACCGCCGAGGGTAAAGATTATTATAATTTTTTTATTATCCATCTCCATAATTTGTACCAGGTCATTACAGCTATGTATTCCATTTATCTTATTATACATCAAAGCACTCAAACTCATAGTAACTCATTGTTTTCCAGCATTTTCACCAAAATACATAGTATCATCTTGACTGTTGTTAATATTACAATTAACAAACATCGTATAACGAGACCTGAATTATTCCGCATATTTTATTTCCTTTTCAACATCATTTTGTTCCACACACAACGCTGATTCGTCACTCTTTTGTTGTAGACAAATGTAATACACGCGAATGTAATATACACACAAAATCGACAAAACTAATGGCACTATTAGGAGAATAACAGCTGAAAATGAACTCTGTTTGAGCAAAAACATAGTAAATGTAATAATCATTATAGAGGTCACATAAAAATGACAATTAATTACGTTTATCTTCACTCTGATGAAAGCCACTTTTGCAGTCCAACATGGCATCTTTGTTGTCGTTTCCTAGAGTTTGATCACGAGACACCTTGTCTTTATCAGCACCTGAAACTTTCGTAAATGTTCTTCGGTCGTCTGTAGTAACGCTCTGGCCATATTTTCTGTTCATTGGTAACTCATTGATATCCGACATATCTTTTCCATCGTGGAAAGAAGGTTGAGCCTTTATTACGTGTCCGCAGTATTGCTCATTGCAACCTATAGTCGGCTTTCGCCCGACTACCAAGTGCAAGATTGGAAGCGTAACGCTAAACAAAGGGAGTGCATTGTCACTTTCGGTTTCTTTAGGGATACAATTCGACCTGCCTTGATCGGGTCCGAATTGGCCCTCATTGACAATCATGCGATCAATTATTGTGATTTATACCTGTTTACTTATTTTCGGAAAGAGATATGATAGTTTTTAACCCTCGGACGCCCAAGCGGGGCAGGGAAGGGGTGGATGCCATCCCGTTCTCCCCCGCCCCCCATAAGATTTTTTCGTAGTTTTGAAAAGACGATTTACTTCAAGTGTCTGAAATTTCAGTAGCTGTTCATTCATCCTCCGGAAAAAATTTTACTATGTCAATTGTGTGACCATCATTTTTGACGTTGCCATAGCAACCGCAAATTTCATATAGGTCTGGCCAGAAATCAACTTTTTTGACCTGTACCAGACGGCGCGGTTGTTTAAAGAACGGCGAAGATCCTATACACATGGACTAAAGCTTTCCCTGGTCGAAAAGTTAACTACCAATTCACCTGTAGCCATTGTTTAATGAGCCTTGATATGAAAGAAGAGTTGCTCCTTCTTATTAACATATATAAGAACTGGCCTTCTCGTTCACTTTGTATAATTCTGTTTATAATAGTATCCCTAGTAGACAAGGCTTTTTTCGGAGAGGGGGGATCGCTCGCTTGCTCCCCCTTCAAAGTCAGTTTTCCATCCAGGATTAACTTTTTGCCAATCTTTTGATTTCTTATATAAGCAGTTTCCAGTTAGCTCGCTATAAAAATGTATCAAAAGTTCTCGAGTGACTTGTGTTACAAGGAAAACAATCTCTCCACGTAGGTAGGCCTAGGCCCTTAGCTGAGTCAAGGTTAGCGTGACGCTTCATTTCCGTTTTCAAAACTTTCAATCAGCGTTCTCTTTATATTTTTGTCCGTCTGTGTTTTGACTGATGTCCAACACCACAAAGCATTAGTTTTATCAAATAAGAGGAACTGAAAAAATGAAAAAATGCTTGAAACGTTTTCCAGTCACCAGTTAAAAGCGATGAATATAAACCTTCATAGAGTATCAAATAAATGATACTTATAGAACTTAAAATCTGTTGAAACTGGCTTTCACCTCTCCCAAAGACTCCCTAGGATAGCATGGTAAAGAACGTGCAGTAAACGCCTTCTATTTTTCTCTCCCCAGTCTTCACACGTGCGCTTGCATGCTCTCCCCTGTAACAACCAAAGCCGCTCCCAGCTTTTCAGACACTTCATACTTGAAGGGATTATTCAATTCAACCCCCCCGCTTCCCCCTCCCTCAGGCAAAAAAGGAAAACGAGCCCTGTGAAATATAAAGGTATCTGTTTATCTTGCTAGTAAGAAATATCTCGGCACTCTCAATATTGTTAATTTGGACATATTGTTGCGTTTTTACATGTTAAGTCGTTACTAATTTGCATTCCCAAAACGTCAGCCGAGCCACCAAAAATGACTCAAAAGTAATCAATCAAGGAAAAAAAAAAGTACAACGCTAAAATTTAAAATAACTATATCATAGATAGGCTTTATTATTTAGAACAAGAAAATTCCGCCTTTGGAAAAACACGCCGATCAAAAGTGTCCTACTAAATTGTTATTGGATAAATTTCAGATACCGTAAATTCGCAAAGCTTAACTGATTTGATTTAACTAAAATATTGACAAGTGTATCAACGATTAAAGACAGTGGGGGCACTTATCCCCTACCCCCAGCCCCCTGCGATTCTAAGAGCGGTTAAAGGAGGATATTTGAAAATATCAATGTCATGATAATTTGCAGCTCTCGTCGTAGAGCTAAAAAAAGTCAAACCTAATTACGAAAGCCCGTTCAGAAATTCATTTACATCCTCCATTTTCGCAAAGCTATTCATCTAAAAAATCATTAACTTTATTTAACGAGAAATACTCTAAACTGGAAATCAACAGGTGAACAAAATATCAAACGGTGGTAAATTAGACCACAGAAAATTGAAATCCTGCTAAAAGAACTGTTTAAAAGAACAGGTTTTCCTTCAGTATTCCTTTGAAAGATTAAGAACATTATTGCGGATTGACAATCCATTCCACGGCTCTCTCAAATCCAGTCATCATGGTAACCCTGCGGCAGTTCTGCATCCACCTGGCCGGAAATACTCGATTTTGGCAGCGAAGGAAGTCACGTGCAACCAAGCCATTATAATCAGCCACTGACCTCCATGTGCGCCGTCGATTCACTTTATCCGGGGTCTCGCGATCTGTAACAAGGAGGGCAGCGCGAAGAAACTGGGTGAACTCTTTGCTGTGGTCGTGATACTGCATAAAGGCCACTTTTTCGTTGGAATAGGCAATTGCAGGATTTTGGGTGTCTTGTAGCACTTGTTGACGAAAGCTCCCTGTCACAGTTTCTAAGGAATGAAGTAATTCTTTTTGAAACAGAGAAATATGACTAGACCAGTTTTGAAATTCAGTGATGATAACAGCAGAGGGGTTAGCTGTGTTCAACAATGGTTTGCACATGTCCAAGATGCTGGTAAGTGGCTGGTAATCAGGGATGTTTGAGGTGGCGACGCGGTCATATTTCCGGTCTGCAGGAAGGAATGGAGTCATCTCCATACAGTCGCACAACAGGAAGTGAAACTTCACCTGTCCTGTGGACAGTGTCGCAACGCACTTCTGGAGCACATGACTTATATACTGGCTGTACATCGTAAGTAGGGAGGCGCAGTGAAAATGCTGTTTAACGTTTTTGTAATCCCACACGCCAAATGGAATTACAGAAGGATCCAGTATGTACCTAAATGGGTAAGGGCCATCAATTTGATTTCGAAAAGCGGCAGGAAAGCCCGTCAGAGTAAAGTTTTCACGAGTGAGATCTTTTCGTGATCCCTTAGGTAACAAAATGCCATTGGCAAACCAGTCAGAGGCGGATTTTTTATGTTCCTTTGGAATTTCCTTCAAGTACAAATCCATTCCATCCTTTGAATAGCGATCGCTCTTGAACATTCTCCGTCGCTCCTCTGTAATCCAGTCTCCCTCTCGAGAACTAAGTTCAAGCCAGGTACGCCACACTTGCACGAGTGTGCGAAGATGGTCTTGCTCCATCTTCATTGCGCCTCTTGTCAATTCTTCAAGGCTGGATGCATGGATCAGTTCTTGAAGGGTGCTCTTCACAAGCCTGAAGTCTTCCTCACTGAGTCGCAGTGAATACCAAATCTGCGTCACAGAGTTTGATATCTGCTCTCCTCCTGTACGTCAAGTGTAGAGAAGAAAGATAACGAAACTGAATACACGTAAGCAATGATGATGGAGATCTGGGTAGCAGATTATGCATACACACTAGTTTGACATTGGTAGTTCTTCAATTTAGAACTATCTTGTAAAAGATTAACAGGGTCTTATGAATCATACATATAGTAAAATGGCCAAGTCACACTCAGTCATGCATAGTTGTCATTAGTGATGGATGATAAATCAATAGACTTACAAAAATAGTAAATGTTAATTTGATACAGGAATGTACTCCTAAATAGTTTCTGTTGAATAGCCACACACCAGAGTGAAACTTACAGTCCCAGTTAAGAGTTAGCAACACCTTGTACAAAATGATAAAAGTACTGTTCAATATTTTTAAACCACTTCAGTTCCGTAACTTCCATTTAAAAGTCACACTCAAGGATTTCATCCAGAGACTTAAAACCACGGCTTTATAAATGTACCAAATCAAAGCAGCGCTCAGCAGCTTTCATTTTCATAGCCCACAATAGGATTTGATCCAAAGACCTAAATGCTAAAACCACCTTATGTAACATGATAAACAGTACCACATGTTGGCACTGCTACAAAATTTTGTTCAAATTTTTTATTACACCACTTTTTATACATTTTTGCTGTGATTCTCCATTAACATATGTCCCAGGACGAAAAATCTAAGCCCTTAAACTACATTATGAGCCTGCAATATGCACGTACTGCGTGCCTATTTGAGAAAGGCTGTCTCCCTTGACGAGACAAGGAAGTGACAAAAATTTATCTTGTTCATTATGTTTGCTACACCTAGAGTATATGTAGATACAGTTTTTCGTGGCCTTGCTGGGCTATAACATGCAATAACCATTGGTCTTTGTTTATCTTGATTATCACGAAGAAAGAGAAAAGGCCTCCGATTAGATAACAATTAAATTTCGCCGAATAAAATTATCTTTAATAAAATCAAACATGAAAGTATAATTTACCTTTAATAAGCATGTATAGCAAAAGAACTGTACGTGCCATCACACAGGAGCAGATGTCGTTCAAAACAAAGGTCAACTCTTCGTTAAAGCCGTCTGGAAGCTGAGACAAGGAAAGTAGGACATTTCTCGGGTCACCAACGCCGCAAACAAGAATCGATAAAGGCTTGTTGTACTGGACACCTTCGTTCAACGGCAAGTTGATCAGATCCACGGCTGGCATGTTTCCCCAATAGTAGACGGTTCCCATACCTGGACCCATGATCGATTTCACCGAGTGGTAGAATATTTCCAACTGGCGGGACAACTCTTCTGTTTTTGCGCTTATTGCTTGGCAGTCGGCCTTGTGTGTCGGCCAAGAGTTCCTTTGACATTCTTTGTCGCAGTACCATTCTTTTCGACAGCTACCACAAGGCTTCAGTCCTGTTTTTTCCCTTCCACATCCAGCACACTTCCTCCTCAGGGCAGCCGTTTGACAATCAACTTGATGACGAAACACATCGTTGTGTTTACATACCTCGCTGCAGTAAAACGCTATTCCGCATCCACTGCAAGAGACCTTTGGAGATGGAGGTGAACAAATGGTGTCACAGCGCCAACATTGATCTTTTCTAAGCATTTTTTGCTTGAGAAACTGCTTTTCTCTTGACGAGATAATGGCTCACTCTTCGGCGTATAGCGTAATCAACACTTTATTCATTACTTCCGAGAAAGTTTTGATTTTCTGAGAATTTATTGCGTGACTATTCAACCGTGGCCAGTGATTGGCTGATATGCAATGAATATTTGTTATTAATCAATTACGATCCAGCTTTTATATTTCACGCTAAAAAGCGTTTTGAAGCAAGTTGAGGCTGCTAGGGTTACCCTGGCGCTAAAGGGCATTGAAACCCGAAGAGTTAGCGGTAATTAACTACTGGGTCGACTTTCCTTTAAAGAAAGAATGCTTAAAGTTCAATTTTGACGTCAAAATATTTTATGTGACTGTTGATAATGACATCTTTGATTTCATATGAGAATGTCAAAATCTAGCCTGCGTGGCAGGCCGTAGAAGGAGAGGGAAAGGGTCAAAATGAGCGCGGAGGATAGAGCCCACCTAGGTATACCAGCCAATCACAGGGCGTGAGGGGTCAAGTAATCATTCTCGGAAAGCAGTTAACATTTCTTGGAAGTGATTGTTTTAAAATTCTTAAGAGTAAATGTGTAGACTGCAAAACAGTCGTATTTTTTGCGAACGCGAGCGAAGGTCAATATTCGAACGAAAAGTCTGGAGCGAGTGTAAAAACGCTTCGACGGTTGTGCGTCACATCAAAATTTAGGTCAATTTCGTGGACCAGAAAGTCGATCTGGTACATGGATTTACCTGCCCAACGATTTTCCTGGTTTAGAGTATTCTTTAAGCTAAGTTTTTATCGCAAATCTAGCTTGGGTAGGTAAAACCAAAAAACATTGAGAGCGTCTCTAAGCTTCTCTAAGACTAGGCACTTAAGCTAATCGCCTGACATTTTGAGCTTGTGAAAATGTTCCTCAAGCTAAAAACAAGCCGAAACTTTTATTCGACAGCTAAAACTGATGTCTTCTTCCTTGTGGCACTCTTCATTTTCTAGAAATCAGTATGCAGCACGCATAAATTAGCATTATTTTGAAACTGGTGGCATGTCCGTACCGATCGGAATCAGGGCAACACGCTGTGCTCATCGTTGAACTTGTAAGATATTGCAAGACGGAGAGTGAAGACCGACAACCATTTTGGCATTTGTAAACTTGATTTTAACACTAGTCTTGACGATATATAATTTTGTCCTAATTTCATGATTTTAATTAAAGGATTGGTACTCTCCAGTGGCGGATCTAGGGGAGGGGCCGGGGGGGGGGGCGCCCTCCCCTCCCCCATTATTTTAGGTAAAAAAATCGCAGAAGGAAGAAAAGCTGACAGAGAAAGCTAAAAACCCCTCCCTCACGCACTGCTCTCCATTCTAGATTAAGACCTTCCCGTACTTGGTGGGACCAAAAGAACTTGAAAACAGCGTTTGCCTAATTGCATAAGAAGTAATATGTCAAACACGAAAGACCGTGTTTGACCACATTTCCAAGCACCGGGAGAGAGTTGAAAATACGACGCGCAGCGGAGTATTATTGACGAACTTCGAGGTGTTTGGAAATGTGGTCAAATGCTGTCTTGAGTGTTTGATATATCTTCTCAATCGAGACTAACACTAAAGAGAAGACGGAGAATTAAAATCGTTAAAATCTATGTCAATTAAGATCAGATATCCAAACACCGTCACGGTCATGATTTCCTTTGTTTAAACGTAATGAATTGTTAATGAGTTTGAGAAAATGTTGTAAATATACCACACCAAACTTGCTGTTGTAAACTAAGTCAGTACAGGCTCGTAATTTTTTAAAAAAGACGACAAAGTGGAGTATTGCCTAAAAGGATTGTCAAAATTGCGCTCTAATTTCATGATTTTAAATAAAAGAAAACGAATTTGGACATGATTAAACAGGTTATCTAGGAAATGCACTTTATATGAAGGAATTTTTATTTTATGCAACTTAAAATTATTCAATTTTAAGAAATTTAATGTTTCGAAAAAAATATTTTCTCACAGAGTCACGAAACCTGTAATAGCCATTTTCTACGTAGAAATAATTTTATTTTTCGAAATGAGGATGGAATTTGTCAATGGAGCTAGCCACTGTTAAAACACTACGGTACCAAAGCAAAGTTTTGATAAATATGCTAAGGAAGTTAACGCATATTGTCCATCAATGACATTGAAAATTTTAATATGCTATTATACCTGAGTTGTAATTAAGACATCTAGGTGATCTGTGGGTTTTGTGTTTTTACGAATCTCCATTTTGTAACGTTAAAACATGAAAATTAAACTAGGGTATTAGAAAGTACTCTCCATTCTCGATTAAGACCTTCCCGGACTTGGTGGTGCCAAAAGAACTAGGAAACAGCATTTACCTAATTGCATAAGACAATGAAGCAAATATACCAGACCAAACTTCCTGATGTAAACCGAGTCAGTACTAATTACTTAATAACCGAGAGTGAGGTCGTTACGGGAAAATCTCAAACCTAGGCCTACCGTATTAACCTCGCTATCGCTCGGTCAATACGGTAAGGCCTCAGTTTGAGATTTTCCCGTAACGACCTCACTCTCGGTTATTGAGTAGTTAGTAATTTTTTAAAAAAAGACGACAAAGTGGAGTATTGCCTGAAATGATCGTCAATTGTCTTTTGGGAAAGCTACCCTAAAGAGGAGAATTTTGCATCATGAAACATATATAATTTGCAGGACGAGACACACGATGGCTTAAACTACTTAAACTACCTTTTTTTAAGCGAGAGTAATTTGGGTTATTATATAAATAAGCAATAGAGCACTTTTTCCGTGTTTACATAGCCTCATCTAAACACGACGAGGGTTGCGAGAATTCGAGACAGTTATGCAAACCCTCGACTTCGTCTCGGGTTTGCATAACTTTCGAGAATTCTCTCAGGCCCCCGAGTGTCTAGGAAAGGCTATGTAAACATGGAAAAAGTGCTCTATTGCTTTTATAAAATAATTCTCAAAAATACGCGCGAATCTAACATGTCAAAGCCGTGATTACATACTCTCATCTAAACACACCTGCTCTAGAGCTCTGAGCTACGACACATTAAAATTAATACTTCAACGACCATTCATAACAATTCCATGGCTTTTTGAAAGGAATGATATGCCGACTAAAACTCACTGGAATCGCTTTGAAACGCCGCCAAAATACCACGGAAATACAAGAACCCAGAATCGTCGAAGTAAGTCGTTTACATTAAATTTCTTTTCCATATTTTTACGCTGTAAAGTGTAAAATATTAAACTGTTCACGGCTTCCAAAGAGCTTAGGGACAAGTGGTCAAACTCCCGTTACTCGCATCACTTTCTTCTGTTTGACTCGACAATGGGAGGGGAGGGAGCATGAATCAACAGATGTAATTTCGTTTCCAAAGATCTGGGAACGAGATTCGAAGCAGTCGAAGCAGTGTCACCTCAGTCGGCGCCAGTTGTCCGTTTCGCAAACGTTCGATGCCATTTTCCCGACACTTAATTTTTTTTTTAACTATCAACGAATTTTTCTCTACTAAATTAAAGAAAAAAGAAAATTTGTAAGTAGCCACCCAGTATCGAACCCGGAACCTCGCTTCCTTACATCCCCTTTATACCACTGCACTACGGTTGATCCGCCAATCTCCGCAAAATTTAATTATAAAACGTGACTTTCTTAAATATTTATGATAGAGTTGCCCCAACCGTCAAATAAAGACTAACCGCAAGCAAAGCAATGTGAAAATGAACAATTAAACTTTTGGTCTCCATCAACAAATTATAACCAGTGTCTATCTTGTCCAGGCCTAAACTAAAGCAGACATAGCATCGTCCATTCTGGAAGGCTTGGTTACCAATGATGGCATCGACCGCTGATTAGCGTCAGTCTGATGTGAAAGCAGTGCTTTTGTGCTTCTGTATGTTATGGTTGGGACGTTCAGATGGATAAAGTGTTTACTACAGTCATCACCTGTGTGATGTTAAGCTGCAAGGTGCGTGTGAATAATTAACGCATTCTTCTACACTACACTTCTAGCTCGGCTCAAAGATCTTTTAAGCTTACTTCTGCAATGAAGTGAAGTTGCTTTCGGTATAATTTTCACTTCCTCGACTGTAGTCTCTTGGGCTGCCAGAAATATTTTGAATTTTCCATGGTCATGCAAAATGCATTTTAAATTGAACTGCACAATGCAGACTGAGGCCCAGTTCAGACGCTGAACTTTTCATGAGCCGAACTTAATTCGAATTTGGACCGACCCAAATTACCAAAAGTACACCTGTTGATTCAGACGTCGGA